CAACTTCTGGTTTGTTCCCAAAACAAAATCAAATTTCTCTAATGTTTCCTTGTACTTGGCATTCCATCAACATTTAATCCAGGAAAGTAATGAACCTTAAGAAGATGCCATTAATTCTTTGGTCCTAATATACATTACAATTTCATATGGCAAATGTTTTGTGTCGTACATCTCTATCATATCTTTACAAGAAAAAAGTCACCAATCCTATACTCCTTATTTCAATATTGTGGACTGGAGGTGCAACAGCCTGTGTTCCCTCCACTCTCAGGAGTAGGAGGTGTCCGCTGCTATGTGAAACCAGCCTCACACTATACCCTCGCAGCTCTTAATACATTTGTAAATCACCATTATTAATAAAGTAGTTTATAAGATATCATGGAGAGCATGTCAAAACAAGCATTAAACAACTTATAGACATGTGATATGTTGCTTCCATAAACCCTTATAAACAGTCTTATCCAAATAGATACGCTTAAATAACGCAATCCAAACAAACCCTAAACCTTCAATTCACAAGCTAGCGCTACTCAGCTCGGTAACCATGTGTGATATTCTAGCCAATGCGGAATTTAATGGATATAAATTTGCATAGTATTAAGTTGGCACATGGTTTCTTAAATGGCTTACTTTGTCCTGAGCACTCCCAAACTAGTTTTAACATGTTACAACACTAATCCAAAAATGTTACAGCCGATATTGCAACCATAGTAGGCATGCAAGGATTTAATCAAGTGGCAGTTGACTGAAAGTATAGGAAAATAACATTCCAAGATACAAAACGCAGATTAACATTTCATAAAAAAAACATGTTGTTTCTGCCATGTTTATTAAAGAATATATTTCTATTATGAAATGTCAAGGGCAAGATAAAAATGAAGGAAATAATGGTAAGAGGATTAGTAACAAACATGCCAAACTGATTGTACTTCAAATGTTCAAACTTTGTCGGTATAATATTTTATGTGATGATATGATAGCATAATATTGTGATTTAGTTTTCAGACATACATAGAATAAATTAGGATCTTAGCTCAAGTACAATATTCATTCCCAAACTCCATTATAGAGTTTAATTCAATATGTGTATTTGACAATTGTTCTCATAAAATGATGAAGGTATACAAAAAACAGAGATTGTGATAAATGTTCATTCATTAGTAAAAAGAATGACTTCTGGTGTGTGAGTATATATACAACGTTATACATAATGATATGCACAAATGTCAAAACTATGTTTACTAAACCGCCTAATAATTTTCATTCGCCACTTATTTAAGGACTTAGGACTTGGTTTTTGTTAAATTGAACTTAATTAGGGAAACAGTTCAACTTTTGCCGGGATTTTACTGCTTTAGTTTTGAGGCATTTAAGGAAACTCTAGATTCGGTCTTGTTCTAACAAATGTTATATTTCAAAATTATTAATTAAACCAAAAAAGACGACAAGAGTTGTTACCTATTTAATACTGTTATTGCAAAAAATGAGATCCACTTCTTTGCATGAACAAAATCACTTTAAACAGAAAATGTATATGAACGAGACAGTCTTCCTCTTGGTTTAATTACTGTTACATAAAAGCAAATTACAAAAGTATTGAGCAAACTCCAAGGTATAGTATTAAAGTACCACATCGTTGAGTTATCAAAGAAGAAAAAATATGTAAGATATAAAAAAGACAACAAGCATGACATTAAATTCATACCTTTCTCGGCCTTTTGGCTAAGATCAAGTGTAGTATCTGTTCTTATCAGTTTAATATCTGATATGTGGGCCAATGGTCCACACGATATTAAATTTATTTCTTGAGGGGGAGAGACCACTACAATGGCTTGCTATTGGGTCTCTTAAGTGTCGCTTTTGCGTTGCACTGTTGCAATAGCCTGGCACACCCCACCTAACCTAGTTCAAATTTATGTCCTTCTTACTAGATCCACAATATTTTCTTTAATGTTATATTATTTTTTGATCCTGTTTCTATGCATATGTTTTCTTAAACAGAATGTCGACACAATATTTCACTGGAACAAGCTATAATTAGGAAAAAAACTTGAACAAGAAATCATGTCAAGGAGATAGTCGTAAACTCGATCTAAAACAGAATGTCGACACAAGATTTCACTGGAACAAAGAAAACGAGAGAAACTATATCAAACAAATTCACACAAGAAAAAGGAATTGAAGAGAGGAAGATACTCAATTTTCACGGATCTTAATTAATAGCAGAAATGGAATGAGAAAACTGTGTGCTATATTGTGTTATAATACTCAGTCAAAATGAACCACTTCCTAATGGAGACATAAAGGAATGGGAATGTTATAGTACTGCTCATAATGTTATACAAGCTAACTAATAAAAAATAGAAAGCAAAGCTGAAACCTACCTTCTGCGTTTCAAGTACTAACTAAAAAACGAACTAGGCAGTATTTCTTGATCTTTAATCCTTCCCTAATTTAGGTGATTATCAAGGGTACATATCCTCCTTGCTAGTCATATCCAATCTTTAATTTCTTCGAGTTTTCGAGTAATCAATAGGGTATATTGATTTGTAAGTACCATGGACTCTAGAGTATTTTCAACTCATAACTTTCTGATATTTTTGATTGAGTTTTTGGAAGCATAATGTCAAACTTGAAAGGAATGATTAGAAGCAGACTATATTAGTATCCAACATATAACAAAGTAGTGGATATAAAAAGCGATTGAGCAATAGTTGGAACGCCGGGGAAGATGTCCTCAAGATCTATCAAAGGCCTAGGAAATACATTGCTTACTGGTAGTTGATTAGTTCCTACTCTTCCACAAACTCCATAATATCATAGCAAAGATACTCTCCCTTTCTCCTTTGACATGTGACAGATTTTCTCTCCAATGTTCCTACCTAGCAGCAGTCTAAATGCTCTTATTACACTGCAGCAGCACCTGCTCTGCTGTCTCCAATTTAGACCACTGACAATCACTAGCAACTTGCACCCTTTTTTCGATCAATCTTACACAAGTTGGGAAATACTTTGCCTACGGGTAGTTGAGTCCCACGTCGAAAGAAGGTGAAAGGTATTGAGAGAAGCAAGAGTATAAAAGAACTCGAATACCTTCATCACAACTTACTTACCTGGATGGGGTCAATGGTTGATCATGAAGGATCATGGCCTAGGAGAGTGACCTCCATTGCACTTAGGAGGGGTGCTAACCTAAGGTCTACCCAAGTGGTGGAGCCTACATCATAATTTGTTGCAATGGGGGCCTGCGTTCGCGCGGCCCCCTCTTATTCCAATCTTCAAGTACTTTTTACAGCCCCCTCTTATTCCAATCTTCAAATACTTTTTACATCATAATTTTAATGGTTTTTTTTATATTTTTAATAGTGTTGGCCAATAAAGTTTGGTTTCTGTGCAAATTTTGGACCAGTTGTTTGATATTAAGGTAAACCACTTAGTCTCAGTATGATTAGTTTCCAACGGACGTGGTTTAGCTTTAGAGTAACAACAAGCAAAATTATAACTTGCCACTGCTGCTTCATCAGGCTCTGATTTTTCCTCCCAAACTAGGTGTTGCAGATTGTAATTTCTGATGGAAAATGTTTTGTTTTTGCCATGTCTATCTTGTCTTTATTAGGACAAAGACACCAATCCTTTAATCCTTATTTTAATAAACAATTAAGTAATAAAAGAAATGATTAACCAAATCCAGCACTATGATTTTTGTAGGTATGCATGGTTATATGTTTCAATTGCAAACTAAATTTCATAAAAATGCACAATAATGGCATATGTGAAATAACAATTCAAGAAAAAAACATTTTTTTGAGTCTTGTAGTTTTACTCGCATAATAGCCTTCTCTCAAATCATTTTCCCTCAATTCTTTTTTCCTTAAGACAGTTTTGCATCGGAAATTTTTATCATATCTCAAGCATTTTGATTCAGTCCCAAAATATGGTGTACATTGTTGATGTTGAACATTTTGACTTAATCATTATGGATCAAACAAAAGCACACGGTTTTACTTTTCAAAATAGAATTTTGAAGTTCATATATACAAAATGTACACAGGACAATAACTTGACCAAACAACCTCAAAGTGTATCAAAGTCATTTTCAAAATTTTAGACAGAAAAGTTGCAAAAAAAAATCACCAGCTTCTAGAGATTGTTAGAAATGATTTTGTTTGGACAAATGATAAACACGTGAACATGAAAACAGTTTTCACTTCAACCAAACTACCAATTAGGAGCACAAGTATAGAAAATATTATAAGCCAACAAGCTAATTTACAAAGTAGTTTCTGCTGTCAAATGTGAGTTATATGTTGATGTTTAATCACTAAGTGAAAATTTTAAATTAAGAGTCCAAAAATGAGATTGTGATCTTCAACTTGTATTCTAATATAATAGCAAGTTTGTAGTAACGAGACTTAATGTCTGAAATTTTTAATAGAGGTTGAGTATTGTTTGCTTTTCCTTTTTGGACTATGCCAAACTGTAAGGATCCATGGTGTTTGTAAATCGGAGATTTAAGCTAAAAAATGTATGAATCCCACCCACCACCAAAAAGAGATGGTTCAGAGGCTAGGCTCACCAGGTGTTGTGGGCTAGAGGTGCAGCGGCCCGTGGTGTTGTGGACTATGCCAAACTGTAAGGATCCATGGTGTTTGTAAATCGGAGATTTAAGCTAAAAAATGTATGAATCCCACCCACCACCAAAAAGAGATGGTTCAGAGGCTAGGCTAGAGGTGCAGCGGCCCGTGGTGTTGTGGACTATGCCAAACTGTAAGGATCCATGGTGTTTGTAAATCGGAGATTTAAGCTAAAAAATGTATGAATCCCACCCACCACCAAAAAGAGATGGTTCAGAGGCTAGGCTCACCAGGTGTTGTGGGCTAGAGGTGCAGCGGCCCGTGGTGTTGTGGACTATGCCAAACTGTAAGGATCCATGGTGTTTGTAAATCGAAGATTTAAGCTAAAAAACGTATGAATCCCACCCACCACCAAAAAGAGATGGTTCAGAGGCTAGGCTCACCAGGTGTTGTGGGCTCCCACCCACCACCAAAAAGAGATGGTTCAGAGGCTAGGCTCACCAGGTGTTGTGGGCTAGAGGTGCAGCGGCCCGTGGTGTTGTGGACTATGCCAAACTGTAAGGATCCATGGTGTTTGTAAATCGGAGATTTAAGCTAAAAAACGTATGAATCCCACCCACCACCAAAAAGAGATGGTTCAGAGGCTAGGCTCACCAGGTGTTGTGGGCTAGAGGTGCAGCGGCCCGTGATCCTTCCACTGTCAGGAGTAGGAAGTGTTCGCTGCTCTGTGAAACCAGCCTCACGCTATACCCTCCTATCTAAGACTCACAAGACCCGTGCCTTCGCACAAGTCCTGTGGCTCACCTCGCAACTTGGAGCGGGCAGGCCAGCATAGTGCAACCAACAGACCAACCTATTAAGCCTTAGCCGTGTTCCATCACCTTGGTGCCCCCACATGGGTCACAAGCTAGCGCTACTCAGCTCGGCGAACTAACAAGCATGTCAAACATTTATGAACACTTTTTTGTGTGATGTTCGAGCCAATGTGGGACTTAATGGATATAAATTCGTATAGTATATATAATATTTAGATGGAACATGTTATAAAACTAATCATTGAAAAGATGTGGTTGTCAAGGTTTGTTAAATGGCTTGCTTTGTACTCGGTACTCCCCAACTACTTTTGACATGTCATAACACTAATCATTGAAAAATGTGGTTGAGGGATTTAATCTACATATATAGAGGGATAACTGGACACTCAAAAAGTGAATATCCAAAACCAATGACAAAGTAGTAGAATGTAGCACATACAATTTGTAAAGTGAACAAACATATATACCTACCTGGTTTAGCTTAGAGTAACAACAACCAACATTATAACTTGCCACTGCTGCTTCATCGGGCTCCTGCTTTGTTCCCAAAACTGACTCAAATCTCTCTAATGCTTCCTCGTACTTAGCATTCCTTCAGCATTTAAACAAGAAAGCAATGGACATTAGGATTATCAGGAAGATACCATTATTTTTATTATTCTAATCTAGATATACTCTTAGAAAATTGGATGCTTCAAAATTAAAGCATTTTTTCCCTCAAACTAGGCGTTGCAGATTACAATTTCATATAAGAATGTCATGTCTATCATGTCGTTACAAGAAACAAGTCACCAATCCTTTATTTCTTATTCTAATAAGCAATTGAGTAATAAAGGAAAATATTTACTTAATCCAGCACAACATTACGTTTTTTGTATTTTTGCATTTTTGCATGTATTTTTGTACTTTTTGTATTTTTGGATGTACTTTTGTATTTTTGCATGATTATATGTAATTCAGTATTAAATCCAGGAAAGTAATGGATATCAATGAGATGCCATTAATTCTTCAGTCCTAATCTATATTACAATTTCATACCTCGAGAAATATAACCATGTGTACCAGCAAAAAAGCTAAAACCCGTCTGAGAGTTTTCAGCAACACCAAAATCAGCAATTTTTGTCTCATAATCTTCATCAAGCAGCTAAAATCATCAACCATCACCTTTCTCTAATTGCTTCACAAACCATCCTGTTTTTCTTCAGCGTGATTCGATAAACCTTTCCATGAGCACCATGGCCGATTAAATTATCTTCGTCCAAATGACTTATTTCATCAGCATCAATATCCACTTGTGAAAAGATGCTAGTTTCCATTTTTTTACTTGCTTCCTTTTGACATTTTTGTAACTTGTTTGCCCTTTGAATCCTGAAGCTTCTACACATCAAAACCGCAGTGATGAAGATAACAATAATGACCAAGAGCATTACATATTTATAACCAAAGAGAATTCTTCTATGACTAATGATCTTTATCACAAATCTTCAAATCAGAATTTATTGAACTTTTTGGAATTTTCTCAACGCATGAACCTTTGTTTCAACCAAAAACAGCATTGTGGATGTTGAATATTTTGATTTAGTCATGTCTCAAACATTATGGATCAAACATAAAGTACACTATTTTACGTTTTAAAAAAGAATTTTGAAGTTCATATATATAAAATGACACCTCATGTAATGTACAATAACTTGGTCATACAATATTCACTAAATTAGGCCTCTAATAACCTCCTTTGAGCATGAAATGATATCATTGATCTCAAAGTGTATCAAAGTCATATTCAAAAAGTTGAGATTAATCATCACTATAATGAATGTGATTATTAGCCATTAGTCATGACTATAGGTGAAAAGTCATATAAGAAGCTAAATAGATTATTTGAAAGGCTTCTAATGCATTATTATAATTAGCTAAATGGATTATTTGAAAAGCTTATAATGCACTATTTGAGCATGATATTATATCACTAATCTCAAAGTACTAAAGTCATATGTGTTCAAAGGTTATTCTTCTCAAAAATATTAATGCAATAACAAACTCCATAATCTTAAAAGCTCAAAGAGAGAATGGGAAATTACAGTCCCTGTGACATTACATAAATAAGCATCACATAAACAAAAAATAATACAAGGAAAACAATATAACATGCTCAAACCATGTCCAAGTAACATTACCATGCACATATATTTTTATTCAAACTACAGGAGGCAAATTGGATGGACCATATAAAAGAGGCTTGAATTTCAAGTCTCCTATTCATGTCTTGGCGTCAGAGTGAACCAAAGAAACAACATATAATAGAATAGAGGGAAGCAAAAACTATTGAGCTGTGATTGGTGCCATTAATAGTATTAATGGAAATGGACAATTTTATTGATCATAAAGTTTCTTATGTATATCATACTAGTAAATAAAACAAGATACTGCAAAGGTGGCAACAAAAAAATTGAGACCTATAATTAACTACAAAATATACACGGTGAAATCAAATGTGATGGAATGATATTGCTCAATCAATTCCTTAGAGCTAAACCGGTTGTTTTCTTGTGTCGACGCAAAGGGGTTATTTCTTAATAAATATTCCAAAAATTGATTTGATGGCATTGATAAATGATTCATGGAATCTTTTCAATAACGGGTCGAATTCTGGGGATGCCCTTGCATTTGCAAGGTCAGGATTAGTTCTGATTCTCTGTTAAACAACAACAGCATTAGGCAGCTTATTTAGCAAATATGATATTGTAACTTGTAGAGTTATTATAGTTATCACCTTAAAGTCCTCAAAAGCCAGAATTTAGAGCTTCTCCAAGTGTAGAAAATGCATAGAATGTCAGGTGGAATCTATTTAGAAAACAACAACAAATTAACATGGCTGTTCTAATAATCTTATTGTTGCTTGGTGGCTGGCACCCCCTAATGAACCAACAAAAAAAGAGATGGTTCAAGGGCTAGGCTCACCAGGTGTTGTGGACCGGAGGTGCAGCGGCCCGTGATCCAAGGGCTAGGCTCACCAGAATTTAGAGCTTCTCCAAGTGTAGAAAATGCATAGAATGTCAGGTGGAATCTATTTAGAAAACAACAACAAATTAACATGGCTGTTCTAATAATCTTATTGTTGCTTGGTGGCTGGCACCCCCTAATGAACCAACAAAAAAAGAGATGGTTCAAGGGCTAGGCTCACCAGGTGTTGTGGACCGGAGGTGCAGCGGCCCGTGATCCAAGGGCTAGGCTCACCAGAATTTAGAGCTTCTCCAAGTGTAGAAAATGCATAGAATGTCAGGTGGAATCTATTTAGAAAACAACAACAAATTAACATGGCTGTTCTAATAATCTTATTGTTGCTTGGTGGCTGGCACCCCCTAATGAACCAACAAAAAAAGAGATGGTTCAAGGGCTAGGCTCACCAGGTGTTGTGGACCGGAGGTGCAGCGGCCCGTGATCCAAGGGCTAGGCTCACCAGAATTTAGAGCTTCTCCAAGGGTAGAAAATGCATAGAATGTCAGGTGGAATCTATTTAGAAAACAACAACAAATTAACATGGCTGTTCTAATAATCTTATTGTTGCTTGGTGGCTGGCACCCCCTAATGAACCAACAAAAAAAGAGATGGTTCAAGGGCTAGGCTCACCAGGTGTTGTGGACCGGAGGTGCAGCGGCCCGTGATCCCTCCACTGTCAGGAGTAGGAAGTGTTCGCTGCTCTGTGAAACCAGCCTCACGCTATACCCTCCTGTCTAAGACCCACAAGACCCATGCCTTCGCACAAGTCCCGTGGGTCAACTCGTAACTTGGAGCGGGCAGGCCAGCATGGTGCAACCATCAGACCATCCTGTTAAGCCTTAGCCATGTTCCATCACCTTGGTGCCCCCACATGGGTCACAAGCTGACGCTACTCAGCTCGGCGAACTAACTATCATGTAAAACATTTATAAAGACTTGTTTGTGTGATGATCTATCCAATGTGGGACTTAATGGATATAAATTTGTATAGTATATATACTATTAAGATGGAACGTGTTATAAAAGTGATGATTGAAAAGATGTGGTTGTAAAGGTTTTTTAAATGACTTACTTTGTACTAGGCACTCCCCACAACTTTTGACATGTTATAACACTAATCATTGAAAAGATGTGGTTGGAAAGGTTTTTGTATGTTTGCATGATTATATGTTGCAAATCAAATATCATAAAATGCCCAATAATGAGATATGTGAAATAAAAGTTCTAAACAAGAAAATGTAGTTAATCTCTATAGCAGATTGAACAAAGTACTTCCATTATAAATGAAATGTGATGGAAGACTGTTAAAAAGCGTAATAAGGAGAGAAAGAAAACGATTTTCAGAGTCGGTGGAGTCTTGTATCAAATAATTTTCCCGGCACTCTTTCAATTTAAGAATTACAATTTTATAGTTTAAATAGAATGAAACTTACTTGAATTTCCCTGACTTTGTTACTGACTACACCAGAGTTCCTCTTAGCTGTGTCTGATAATCTCTCCTTATCAGTGAACTCACTACCAGTTTCTATCTTTCATATTTTCTGCATTCTCTTGAGTAGCGGGCCCATTCCTTGGCGAGTTGTGTACATTGTTCATCCATATTCCACAGCTGGCCAAACATAGGTCCCAAAAACAGCACTGCAGATGTCAAACATTATAGGCCTCTATTTAATGCACATATGACAATTTCATTATCATAGAACCTTAAGCCAACCTTCATATATATTCAACGAGGTGTTCCTTGTCAAGAATATTAACTCAATATCAAAATCCACAATCATAACCTGATTAAGCTGAACCTTGACCAAATAAGGGCTTATTTGGATAAACAACTTAATTAAGTGCTCGTCATAAAATGCTTATATGTACTAGTATAAGGTATTCTCTATAACAGAAAGTAAACTAAAACCAAACAGTTATTATTTAAACTGTAAGCTATTTGTTAAGCTGTCACGGAGAGTGTCGAAATCAGCTGAAAATAACTAGTGAAAATGTGATGTATAGTTTTCATAAACCCTGCCAAACAGTCTTATTCAAATAGATAAGCTTAAATAACACAATCCAAACAACTCTCAAAAAAGGCGTGTCCATTTCTGCGTTGGTGTCGGACACCTGCACCAACACTTGGTAGCATACAAACCCTAAGGCTTGAATTAAAATAAGTAAGTTGAAGATGATGATAGCGTATCTAGTTAGCGTAAACCTGGTTCCTTGAAGCTTCTTCTTTGGATGATTCTGTCGCAACATCATATAAAACTTTCACCGCAAAAAGGAATGGGTTTTGATTTTGAGAAACTATATGAAAAAGGGTTTCTTCAGCAAAACTATTTGGCGGTCACAACAAAATAAGCTCAAAGGGTTTCTTTCTATCACGTTGCCACTCCCTTTACCCGGCAATTTTTCATATTTATGGATTTCTTTATAAACTTATTATTTTATGATTTATTTTTTTTGCTTAATAATAACTTTGTTTATAAAATATTGGGACTCTATTTTAATATATTACAAATGTAAAAGCTATTCTATAGAAATATCTCAATTGTGAAAATTTAACGATGATTCAAAGATTATTACATGGATTTTATTTTCTGTGGAATTTTCAATAAGTCTTCTGCCTGATGCAACCCAGAAATAATTATTTAAATTAAAAGATAAATCAACCATTAGATTTAGGAGAAGAGGAAATTAAAGAAGAATATAAATATAATTGACCTGATTTAGTAGAAGAAAAAATTAGATAGCAAAGGAAGTGTTCAGACTTAACCTAAATGGAGAAAAGATATATTTATGTTTAAGATTGATCACAGAGTGAACAAATATGAAAGAATGAATTTGCTAAAGACAACACAATAGAATATATATTTATATATATTTATAGGTTAAAATCTAACCTGAGGGACAAGGTTCAGCAGTTGTTGTCTTAACCCGATAGCATTAAATATCATGGTTACTAAGACGCCTATGAGAATGGGTTCATGTACCGCTCTCGCAAGACGGTGAAAGTTTGCTAGCATAAATGTAGCTCCATTTATGGGGCGGTTTTGCAAAGCACAGAACATGATAAAAAGCTCAGCTCTAGAAAGAGTGGTAATGTTTTCTGCTTTACCAAAAAGGGTGTGAGCTAGGATTTTGTGAAAATATCTTAAAGCTGAGTTGTGTGTGTTTTCATAATGCATGTCCTCAGGCTCAGGGTTACTAATGCATGTAAGGGACGAGATTGTTTTATCGAAGGCAACATCGAGGGTCATCGAGGGACTACGATCTTTTTTATCGAAGGGTCATTGCTAAAGTGTCTCATATTCGAGGGACATGATTGTATTTCTGAGGCAACGAGCGAGGTTACCCTAGAGGTGCACGTGTGAAAAAAGTGTGTTCGTTTCAAGTTATTTTATTCTTTGATTAGGTCATCTAGCGATTGATTTTTGAATCTTATCATACACGCCTAGTTACTATACAGTATATGGAAAACAGTAAATTGTGGGAATTGAAATTCTACGCTATTATAAAGTATTCGGGAATGGGGGTACAATTGTTACAAATGGGGATGAATCAAATGAAATAGCAATGTCCAAATATCAAACAATACAACCAAATCGAATTTTTGTGCGATTTAATTAAAGCTATGATAATCCATGAGATAAAATCAACAAAGTATGAAATGAAATGTATTTACTTGAAAAGAAAGAAAGGTAAAACCTATTCTAAAAAATAAAAATAATTGATTAAATTAAAATCTTTATTTTTGTATTTTTTATTTATTAATTATATAAATAAATTTAAAGAAAGAAAACAAGCTAAGTTACTTTTTTTTATGTTTTATTAAATGTAAAAATTAATCAAAACAAGTTTATATAAAAAAGAAAATGATAAAAATTAATCACAAAAACTTAAATCAAATTAATGAAAATGTTTTAAGTTTTATTTAGCATTTTTGCAAAACAAATAAAACAAATTAAAAAAAAGAAAGAAATATGGGCTCAAGCTGATTTTAGATGTTAGGCCCAAAAGAAAAGTTGTTCATGTTGTTAACAAAACAAGCCAGGGGGGGTGTATCCAGAAATAACGCATGGGCTTTAGGGCAATGTGATGGGTTATCAGCAAACCAAACACAAATATCTTAAACCAAACCTAATTGTTGATTAAGGGGACAAAACAAATTAGGGTTCTTAGAACCCCTTTGTTCACAGTGGCGCCGCTCATCTCTTTCGCTTAATCTCCGTATCATCCTCTAAATCTCTCACTAAACATCCCTGTCTCATTTTCGCGAACAAAATTGCTCATGCCGTCTCTTTGCCTCACCGCGATTCGCAATTTTGAAACCCTAATTTTGAAATTGGATTTATGTCTAAAAATGTCCGAATCTGGTTTATCTGATCCTCCTCCCCCACTCTCGGTCTCCAGAACGCCACTAATCTCGCCTCCCTAATCCAGTTTCAGTGATTTTCTTTGAAAAAAGGGTGAGATTCTGTTATTCTTAGAGCTTAACGATTTATTGATTTTTTTTGTCTTGTTTATGTTTTCTTTTGACTACTCCATTCCTTGAGATATAGGGAAATATGTTATGAGGAAGGTGAAGAATCTATACCTGTTTGGAACTTTACAGTTTCTTGCGATTTTGAAAGGGAGCGGAGAGAACGAAGGCGGCGTTCCTTGGTGGCCGGAGCTGCGCGAGGGGAGGAGATGAGGATGATACTCGTTGCTTTTCTGGTAACTTTCTTTTGTTTCCTATGTTTGAATGATGATGATGATGGTTAATGGTTTTGGGTTTGTTGGGATTTTGTTTGGGATCTTTGATGATGTTACTGGTTTGGTTTGAAACTTTTGGTTTTGGAGGTTTTAGGATGATGTTACTGTGTTTTGAGTTACCATGTTGTTGGTTTGATTCTTGGCCACTGTTTTTTGAGTTGGTGAAGCTTTGTTACAGATTCAGTTAATGGTGTTACTGGTTTGCTGTTAGTTCTGGTGTCTCAGTTTGAGACTTGTTCCAGTTTTTTTTTTAATGTTGTTTTGGATCTGTGGCTTTGAGGTTTTGACAGTTTGTTTGCCTTTTAGTTTTGGAGGTTTGGTGATTTTCTGTATTTTGATGATGGTTCAGATTTGAGACCTGGTTTTTGATTATGGTGTTTTTGTTACTTGGAGATTTGTGTTTTTCTGAGTTTTTAGACCTATGTTTTTTGCTTCAGATTAGGTTTGGGATTTTGACAGTTTGGATGCTTGGTTTGCTGAGCTTTCTTTAGGCTTGTCAACTGTTTTTTGATATTTGGCTTTTGGGAGTTTTGATTTTGTACTGATGGTTTTTGGCAGTTTTAGACTTCTGTGTATTTGGTTTGACAAGTTTTTGATCTTGCTACAGGTTTGTAACTTGTTGATTACTGTATTTTTAGGTTGGATGTTGTTTTTTCAGTTGGGACTTATATTGGTTTTTGAGGTTTTAGACTTGGACAGGTTTTTGAAGGTTGTTGATTTTGTTGACAGTTTGAAGGTTTTGAGACTTTGACAGTTTTTTAATTTTGTTTATTTTTTTGTATTTGATGATGGTTCAGATTTTTTCTTTACCTCTCTTACTCTTCTATTGCTTTCTTTTTATTCTATTCACCCTACTTATGTTATCTCTATTCAAAATGGTGGGAAAATAAAGAATTTGAATATTTTACTATATTGTTCTTTTGGCTTTTTGATGGCAGTTTTGTTTTCTAGCAACTTCTATGTAACTTGTGACAGTCAAGGCAGCAGAGCTGTGCATCCCAATAACCTAGGTGGCTTCTTTCCTCTCTTCTCTCTCAATGACACTAAGAAAGTCAATTGCTCTTTTGCCTTTTTTCCAATTCTGAAAAGTTTGCAATGAAAAATGGAAAATGATGAATTAGGCTTCTTGAACAAGTTTTTGCTTGTTTGACTTAGCTATTATATTGCCATACTTCTGCTTTGCTGCCTGCTTTTGTTGATGGTGTTTGTTGCTATATTGCTGCCTCGTTTATGCTGTTTGCATTTTGTTTGGACAAAGTTGTTTATTTTTTGGACAGTTGTGATAATGTTGTTGTTTGTTGCCTAGTTTGCGCAGCTTGCTTGCATTCAGTTTGTAGTATTTGTTTGATTCAGTTTGACTGCATTTTATTTGGTTCAATTTGCGCCTTTGGTTTGGGCAGTTTGTGATCATTCTGTTTGAACAGTTTGCTTGCCTTTTGTTTGGACAGTTTGCTTGCCTTTGTTTGGACAGTTTGCTTGCCTTTGTTTGGACAGCTTGTAGCATTTCTTTTCCTCTTTCTTTTTGTGAACCAAGAAGAATAATCTTCTTGTGATTTTCAAATAGAGAAAATAAATTGTGATGAATTAAAATGGCTTTCTGATTCTACTTTGCAAACTCTAATGATGAATAGCATTTAAAATCTCTGTTCATGCCCAAATGATTTTATACTAATCATTTTTCTTTCTTTTATTTTCATGTGAGCACAATTGGATGTGACAAAGCAATGGAGGCAAGAAACTCTGTGGCAAGCATGGAAGCAAAGGAACTTCAGTCAAACTTAGGCATAGGTTAATTCTCCTAGGCCAATCAAGCATTTAGATTTTCTTTTGCAATTTAGAGAAAAACATTCTTGTACTGTATCCAATAATTGTATCAATTCATTTTCAAATACGATAAGTTGTAAAACCTAAAGTATTTAAATAATAAATTGTTTTGTAACAATGTATGAAATTGGAGAAGATCTTATGAAATGTTCTTGTGTCACTTGAAATCCTTTACTGACAATAACTTGTAATTTTCTTTTCGCATCCTAACTGATTCTTAAAGATTCCCAATCAAGATATTTGAAACAAAATGCTCCAATCTGGTAACTTATATTCCAAGTAATCCCAATAACTATGTAACTGCATTCCAAACAAATGCGCACTGTATATTCCATTTCCTGACCAAGCAAATGTTTTAAAAGATGAAAATCATCTGGTTAACCTGGATCAATCAATCATGAGTGTCCTACATGACAGTCTTAAATTCCATCTCTTGTCCCAAACAAACATGCCTTGAGAACAAACATTGTCTTTTCAGTAAACTTGAGAAAGCATAAAGACCTGTGAAATCCAATTGGATCTTTGAGAATTCATTTCTTTTGAGAATTGCAAGAAACCCTAATTGCTGGTTTACCACCACAGAAGAGAATATGTCTGATCGATTTCTGAGTCAGCTTGAAAATCTGAGAAACCCTAGGGTTGTGTTTTCTATGAAAAATGGGAGGGCAAATTTTTGGGTA